AGTCTCCATTCGTGCATAGGGGTGGTTGCGTCTCGATAGCTATAAGGGTGCGGGAGATATGAGGCTGAAAGTGGTTGAAAGTGGCTTTCTATTTCGAATGTTTTGTTCGAATTTGTTCGAATTAAATTCGAACATAAAATTCGAATATTGGTTCGATTATAGAACGATTGTAAACGTTCCAGAAAATTGATGAAATTGAAAATAGTTCGTTTAACTGGACGTGAACAAGAGACGTTCAAAAATAGAATCGGAACCAGGTCTCTAATTAGTCTGGAAACGGGGGACCTCATTCTTGCATTCTGTGAAAACGGGTAAGATTGGCTATAATGTAATAATCTTAATCTTAACTATCGTTACTTTTTGCCCACAAATAAAAACCCAGCGTAACGGATCCTTGCAGCTAGATTCTAGATTACTTAGAAGAACAGTCTTTTATAAATAAAAAAACAAAAACTATATTACATACGAATGTACGAACGAATAAAAACCCAGCGAAGTGGGTCCTTGCAGCTAGTTAAGAAATAAAATTTCAGAAATTTTCAAATACTCAAGAATATAGAAGTAGTGTGAGACCATTCTCCATTCTCAAGACATTTAATAGTTCCCGTGGCATTTAATTTATAACCATCATCGCAAGTGAGATGAAGTTCATCTTCGTAGGAGTAATTCTTACTTTGATTCCAATTTTTCAATATTCCATTTAATGTAGCGATGGGAGAATTCTTATATCGAATCTCTTTGTGAAAGTTTAATATACAAGATACTGTATATAAATCTATTTATTCCGATATTTAAAATTTTATTCTGTTATTATTTACTTACTTAAATATATTGGAAATTTCTTCTCTGTAAGAAATATAAATTATTTTAACTGCAATCATTTCGTTATTTTTGAAACATATAAAATATTTACATACCTATACAAGCTGCATGAGTATGGGACCATTCTCCGTTCTTAAGACATTTAATATTTCCTGTGGCACTTAATTTATAACCAGGATGACAAATAAGACGAATTTCGTGTTCATAAAAGTAACGTTTAGTGCCATTCCAATTTTCCCACATACCATTTAATATATTCATCGGAGAATTTTTGCATTGGATCCCTTCTTAAAATTTAATAAAGGTAATTAAAAATGAAATAAAATTTCACACAAAAACTGCCCGAATGGTTTACTTACGTTGACACTGAGGTATTTGGGTGGATATATTTGTCACTCCACAATAAAGATATCGATATCCGTTCATTTGAAAACCCTCATTGCAGTTAAATGACACGTGTTCTCCATAGTTTAACGAATTAACATTTGAAGGAGAATATATCCATTTGGTAGATTTATTGGAGCAATGGGACATTTTACTCCTATTGATTAAAATAATACATGTATCAGTTTTAACTTTATGTATTTTAAAAAAATAATTATAGCTAATTCGATAAACGTAAATCCTATTATTGAAATATACAGAAATCCCATTTATATAATTTTAAAACAACACACTTTTTAATCTATATTTATAGAGATTTTAACATAAATTTGCAATTTTTAAGCAAGTGTATAGCCTTTTAAATTCTAGTATATTGAAAATTTATGAAAAATTTCTTTGGAGATTATTTGAAGTTTTTTTTACTTCTATTTTAAGAATTTTAAAATCAAACGACACTGTTGGTTTGCAGTGAAATGTTACTTTGTTTCTCATTCTTGAAACGTTATGCAATGTTATTATCGATGATTAAATAATGAAATAACGATGATAAAAACCACAAATACTAAAATTTGTTTAACAAGGCACAAGAGATAACTACAAGATTATTACTGTATTTGACTCAATGACGGCTGCTGAGGAAGTTAATGTGTTAGCTCTTTCCACATCCCTTCTTATCTTCATTTTGCTCTGAAATGGATAAGATACTACGAAGACTACATCCTTGTCTTCTCCAGCTTCAGAGCAGTCTAAAAATTCATTCATAGATACTGAGGTATTCTTTGTATTTCTGGAGATTACTCTTTCGTCTTGGGATTTTCGGTCAGTACCATTTCTTGTTGTGTTTTGGGAAGCTGGAAGCGTTTGTCTTGCGCTGTTTGATAGTTTTGGTGCAATTTTCTGTTTTGGCTTTGATAGTTTGAATAGTTTGAGCTATTAGGCATTACAACACCATTTTAATTATTTTTATGTAACGGTTTGTCCAAGGTAGGGGGAACCACGCTTACCTTTCGTTGAAGGGTACTTACGGTGTCCCTCTTTGTTTTCTTGTCTCCTTTTTTGTTGTGCGATTCACCGGAAGAGAGGGAAGAGGACAAGCAAGCAAGGACTACGAAAGTGAAAATGTATAGAACTTCTTTATCCGAACGAACTATCTCAGCACTTTTCTTTTTCTTTTAATTGGATTCTACAAGGTGAAATAGTTAGTTTTGAACAGACTGTTCGTCCAGAATGAAAGTTGACTCTGAATTGGGATTGAGGATCGTTTTTCTAATATCGTGAGAAAAGTCGAGGATGGCGTGTGGAGTAACAGTAATTGGGATATCGCCTAACGTCTTCGTTTCAGGAATTTCTCTGATTGCTTTATCGATGCAGTTTCTACAAGTAGTTGTCATTGGCAAATTATCAAGTTTTGTATTAGAAAAGGAGATAAAGTCCCCAATATAAGTTCGGAATTTCAGCGCAAAATCAAGAAACGTGGCATTGTAGGTCCCGGAAGATCAGTATTAGTAGTTAATATTTCATGATTAAAGGAATAAATTTCAGCTCCCATTGATCCCATCCAACACCGAGTCCAACAAGGGGATGCTGTACAGTGTGCATAAGCAACACCTACTAATGCACCAGGGTATCCCAGGACCTATATCCTCACAATGTAACAACACAGAAGACTAATCTGTCTGGACTACACCGATCAGTTGACTCCAAGCTGAGGTCCCAAACACTCAACAACCAGCCGATTGACTCGAATGAAGAATGTTCGAGCCACCCATTTATCTGAAACAGGACCAAAGCAGTGTGTTGGGGACGTTATGTTGCCAAAAACTTCTTTTTCAGCTTACAAGTATCCACATAGAGCAAACACGTGGGTGGCGAATTCTACAACAACGGCAACACTACATTTGGCTCAGGCTGTGGGGTTTCCACTTCCGAAACAACTGCCTAAGCAATTAATTAAAAATGTCTAGAAAGCAGTGCTGTGCGATGTCTATAATTTTAACATCGATGTCAAACATCGATGTTTGCCTAAGCATCGATGTTAAATTTCGATGTCGGATTTCACATCGATGTTTGATCGATGCCCATTGGAACATCGATGTTCAATCAAGATAAACTCAAACAATTAAAAAAAAAAACAAAACCGGGTTTGTTCGAACAGAAGTTCCTGACGCATGCGCAATGTCATTTTACAATGCGAAGAATAACGTGCATGCCGGTAATAAATCAGTTACAGTTAGGGACTAGGGACTTGCGTAGGAGTAACGCAAGTAACCTAAATTAAGAAAGAACAGGTACAGATAACTTAGCTCTATTTGATACGTGTACGATCGCACATGCAAAAAATAAGTCGACAGGGTTTTTTTTTTACTATTTCCGCCCTGTGGGCACTAAGAGGGCCTTTTATAGCAGGCCCATTATGGGTTCGGCCAGGCCCACAATGGGGCGACCGGGTGGTGAGGGACGGGGTTTGACATATCCGAACAGACCACCCCCGAAAAATTCCTGGGGATTCCTTGACCCGTCCGGATTCGATCCCGGGTCCCTCAGAGAGATAGGCTGCCACCTTGACCGTTGGCCATCCGGCCTCAAAGTCGAAAGGTTGCGCGCCACAAGTTGGCGTAAACAGACTAACATGGCAGAGTTGCGGATGAGTTTCAATGAGTGTGAGTTCATTCACTGTTAAAATAGTGTAAATTTGTAAACATATTTGCGAGAACTTTGTTTTATCGCAATTTCACAATTTCTACGAAATTCCCGGACTGTCCGAGTGAAAACCGAACAGGTGTAACACTAGGAACAAAGAATGAACTGCATGCATCGATGAATCGAAATTCACATATTGCTAACATCGATTCAGGATCGATGTTTCAAAAACATCGGAAGATCGATGCATCGACGAACAAAAACATCGATGTATCGATGTCACATCGATGCATCGCACAGCACTACTAGAAAGTAACCAATGATATAATATAATTCCATTTTATAGTGTTGCTTCTTTTATACAAGAGGATGAATGAAAATCAGTTGGTTTTATATAACATTTCTTACTACAGATTTACTGTTCAACACAAACGAAAGAAAAGCAGTCGAATAATTTTAAATATGAAAGAAAACACTTACTTGACTTTGAATAAATATAGATTCCACATACTTGAAATTTGTGCCACGAATCTTGACTTAAGTAAAATTTAATATTTCCTGTCATGTCGTTTTTAAATTCGTACGTAAATTGTGTAACCACTGAAATAATTGAAATATCAAATAAATTTCAATTATAATCGAAAAATTTATTATTACATCAATTATACTGTAAATATCTTCATAATACTACATAACATTGAAATATTACTATAAAATACACCCATTGATAAAAGTAGCTATTGACCTAGATACACTTGTTTGATTACTGCAAACTTGGCGTACAGCTATGCGATATTCAGGTATACGCATAATTATAGTTGTAGTCTTATTGCGCGCTAGTAATCCCACCAAAGTGTCTTAAAATCACTCTTCTATTACCCTACAAAAAGCTTGCACAGGTTCACTGTGTTCATAATTTTCAGTATACCTGTTGTTAGGAGATCTTCGAACATCTGGCATACCTGTACAATGCACTCAAAGACTTTATGCACACTGACAGGATTTGATAAATTCTGCGTTATAATTCTGAGAAAGCCAGGATAAAATTCCAGGTGTTTTACGATCAGATTCGTTTTTGGGTTTTCCAGTGCAGCAGGATGCCACCTAAGCATTTTGGCTATGCACAAATCTTGCTTCTATTCGGGAACACACAACTGCTATGTTGAAGAGTGGAAGATCTCTGGTGAACGCTTCAATTCTGCCTTTAATGTTGAGTCACATACTGCCTCTACTCTTGGTATGCTGGGGAGTCATCTCGTATGATAGTTAATCACTTCTACTAATAGTGCAAGAAACATGATGGATGCTGACTTTGATTATCTACCTGGTAGAGATCTGAAGGGCCGGTTTCAATTACTGTGGAAGAAGCTATCGTAGGATAGCAAGCAGTGCTTATATGTCTCCAGATTGCATTTCCACGTGCATGCAGGGAAGAGGTTTTACAAGATTTAGTTTATTCATAAATAGCAACTTTACCCATGGGTGATCTGTCAAGGGGATGCCTCTTAAGACGCCTTTTATGATAAACTGGCCTCTATTTAGGTATTATTAAAGTGAAGAAGACCGAAAAACTACAAGTGGCCAGCCCATTGACAAGGCCAAGCCACAACCAACAAAGCTGTGTTCAGTGGTTTTATCGAATCGGCCACTGTTGTGCTGGTCCTACAAGGTAAGAAAGAATCTTTTAAATTGTATCCTTGTTTAACAGGAAATTGTTCCTTTACTATGATAATGTAAGTACTTTTCACCATCGTCATTAGATTCGCACTAACAAAGTCTCCTTCTTGGTGCGTAATTTTTTTGTAAATAAGTGTATATCAATTAAAGAATATACAATTAGAGTATATTGTTAGTTAAAATTTTAAGAGATAAATTATATTTTAATTTAATTTTAATTTATTACAAAGTTCAAACAACAAAGCAATGTTATATTAAGCTGTCTGTATATTAAAATATTCTTTAATATCTGCCTACCAAGAGGACTTTCTATGAAAAAGTGCTCTCTATTTAGACGTTAGACACCAGGAGAAATCTCGCTAGCTGCCCATGGTGTTCTACCAGCATTCATAGGTTTTATCCATTCGACCGCCAGTGAGCGATTAATTCAAGATTTCCAGTGATGAAAATATTGACCAATGATTTTCTAATCCCTACGGTCCTAAAATTTACAGTAGGTTCAAAGGTCGTATAGATAGATATAAGTTTTCAGCATAATTAGAAATTACGACTTGAGCAAATGCCATAAGACTTGTCATAAACTATTCTTTTAGCATAAATGGTTAATGACTATTTTTTGTTGAATAAATCTCATCTTCAGCAGTCAATAGCTGGTCAGGAAAAAAGGAGACCTTTCTACCCTGACCAGCGGGAATAGCTACACTCAAATTAGAGAATTACTGAACAGAATATTCACTTTAACACTCAGGATGCCTCTATATCGTTACCTTCAAAATTACACGAAACACCTAGGGTATTGATATATCCTTACCTATTTTAAATTCGATTGTTATTAAGTAAACAGCTCATAGATATCAGCACTTAACAGTGTCGTTTTCTCCATCCTGTGTTTTATATTATCATCCAGATGGTATTCAATTTTTTTTAAATAAAACTATTATAAATCACTTCTTTTAGCATTGACTCGTTATGCCTTTTTTTGCATACTGCTTGATGTGATCCCCAATCTGAACGTGAAAAACTTGAAGAAGATGGATAGTGTGTTTGCTGGCTGATCTCTGATTCTTCTTACAAGCAATGTGATAGATGGTCTTTCAAGACTGCCAAATTTGCAACATGTCTTTTATAAACATGTTTCAATCATCTTGAAAAGAAAAAGCTATCATGGATGTAAGATCAAGGAGCTCCATTTTCATTGTTTGCAGCGCTAAAAGTATCTTAGTTTTTTTATAAAAATGTTTTCCGCATGCACCATTACAAATTTCATTGCTGAAATTAAGCATAAATTTGTTTGAGAAAACAAAAAGCAAGCATATCAGTAAATGAGTGGATAATACCACCGAATTCTAGTAGTTGTCTTAGGTTCGGCTTCATCAATCAGTTGACCATGTGGAGTTTTTTGGATTTTCTACACGTTTGTAACACCTAAATAGGAGTCGGTTTTCTATAGTACTTCCAAGAAGCATTCCTCTCTTTACAGATAGCCTGCAAATTGAGTTGCTGTATATGAGCAAACAAACAAACAAGAAGTATCCAAGTAACAAACTTGATTGCATTTGGATTACTAAATATTTGCAGACAGCATAGAATAAAGATAGTTTAATTGTTATCATTTTGTATTTAATTGAAGTTTAATAAAATGTCATTAAATTTAAGCATATAGTTATTAAAACATTTTAAAATTTATTTTTTGAGACTTGATTAGAGAGGAATAGTATATGTTAAAGGCAATTTGTGAAAAATCGCCTTATATATAATGTGCAGACTTCATTTTTTCAGACTCTCCGAACCAGAATTTTACTGAGGAAAATTATATATAACAACAACACCACATCTGAAAATTAATATTTCCAAGTCTTTCTCACAAATGGAAAATGGGTTGAGAACGTTGGGGTGCGGTTGGGGGCGTTGGATATAAGTTTGTGGAACTAAGAGATTTTTAAAAGAATTTGGAAATTACTATACGAGCACGGCATTATATCCTCCAAATAGCATTTTAAGATTTCTTTTACATTCATTGTTGTGTTTTAAATCTTGTATACTTAGTAACTTTATTATTTGCATACTAATTTATAGTTTCTCTTATAATTTTTTGTATTTATTAACATTATTTAAAGGTTCATAATTCGAAGTTTAGACTATTTACAAAAAGTCAAGATAACTTTTGAGTCTATCTTTATCCTTTTTTACACTACCACAGAAGTAACAGTCTTGAAAAAATTTTTGCTTTGAAGAACTCTTCTTAAAACACAGGTAAAAATTGGTTAAAAAAAACTTCACAAGGTTAAAAAAGATCAAGTGTCAGCCTTTCCTTGTAGGTTTCTGACACTTTTACAATTAAAAACACAAAGAAATTCTTCACCATTTCCATTTTTATCCACTTTTTAAACTGCTTCTGGCCCTCTGGTAGTAGTTACGAGTATCTACATTATTTGCATATGGTTTTATTATGCATATGGTTATATTATGCATATGGTACATTATTTGCATATTTGTAATAACTCAGGATTTATTTCTTCATAATTCGAAGTTTAGACTATTTACAAAAAGTCAAAAATAATTTCTTTGTGTTTTTAATTGTAAAAGTGTCAGAAACCTACAAGGAAAGGCTGACACTTGATCTTTTTTAACCTTGTAAAGTGTTTTTTACCAATTTTTACCTGTGTTTTAAGAAGAGTTCTTCAAAGCAAAAATTTTTTTCAAGACTGTTACTTCTGTGGTAGTGTAAAAAAAGGATAAAGATTAAGTCAAAAGTTATCTTGACTTTTTGTAAATAGTCTAAACTTCGAATTATGAAGAAATAAATCCTGAGTTATTACAAAAATTATTTAAAGGTCCTTAAAACCACGGCAAGAAGGATATCCTCATCCTAATAGTACTGTACTATTGAATTGAGGTTAAACTGTAAATTACCAGTATGTCTCAGATGATTTAAACATATCATCTTCAAGTCGATTAAGATGTTTCTCGGGAAGACTTTCTATGTAAAACTGACCCTTTTTTAAAAGTTAGACACGTGAAGAAAACCCACGTTAGTGAGGCGTAAATCTGCGACTAATTGCCATATCGTAAAGATGCCAGTTTATGCAGTCCGTTGATTTCGGAAATAGATAAATAAACAAACAATATCCTCGAAAACAAGAGAGAAAAAATAGTCTTACTTACTACGATCAGAACTAGTCTTATGTCGTTCTTCATGTCTATTGTTGTTAACAAATAGAAACACGATAGGACATCCTATATAGCTTGTGTATGCTGGAATACATTATTATTATTAATAAAATGATTACAAAAAACATATTTTAAAAAATATTTACCTTTAAACACTATTCTAATAGCGGAAAAAGATTTTTCGAATAATTTAATTTTCCAAGGTACATCCGTACCGGCTCCTACGCATTTATTTTCGTTTAAACTTTCCGTTATATCATGATCATCTTTCCATATCTCCGCATAAATTGAGTTAGCTGTATTAAAGTAAATTACAAATTATAAGGATAAATATCAGAAATACCAAGGATTAAAGAAAGTCGTATATCAACTGATTACATTCGCTCAGGTAATCGGAGTAGGCCTACACTTCGACTATTCCATGTAAAATTCAAGACGTAAACATTTTCAGTCCATAAAGGAAATTAAAGTAGAGAAGCAAAAGGATTCGAGACTACATGAATATATGAGTATAAAAATGTTTTTTGAAGTGAAAAAAAATGACCTGTGTAATGTACGTAATAAATACAGTTGTATTTGATTGTGCATATTAATAAAACAAGATCATTTTAATTATATAGCGTTTATATGATTATTTATATTAAATTAATGTGAAAATTTATATGATTGGTACATTTTGTTATCGTTTTATTTACGTAAACAACTCACCACAATACGGCACTTCACCTTTCCAACTTCCATCCTCTTGGCATAGGCTGCGTTTCTTTATGCAGCGAGAGTGCAGCGTAAATGACGTCACGAGCAGCTATCACTACACGTCGCTGCATCATAGTTTAGAAACGCTTTCCGCTCGAGCGAAACACGGACGTCATAATATATCCTTTAATTCCAGTTACAGCCGAAAATACTGCTTTAGTTAAAGAACTACAATATTTAAATAAAGAGATATAAAGAATCGAGCATTTATCTTTCCATAAATGTGAACAAAGTAAAGAGATAAAAGATATATAATTATATTTAAAATATAGTATTTTCTTATTCTTTAGATAACTTTCAGAGTCATTTCATAAAATTTAATCCTTCTTAATCTTTCCATAATATTTTTATCAACAGTCACTTCGACTTTTTTATTTTTACAGCATAATATCGTATTATACACACAAGCGTCCATTTTGCTTTACACGTGTAGCGGACGTAAAAGCTGCTTTATCTTCGCTGCAGCGACCTCTTGCAGCAAACGTTTAGAAACGGTTCGCTACATTGCAGCGCTGCATTTAGAAACGGGTTTCAGAAGGTTCGCTGTAAAGCGCTTCTCGAGCGCTGCATAAAGAAACGCGGCCATATTAACGTTTCATTTCCAAATAAGTAATAATTTCCATAAGGGCATTTGTATTTATTTTCGGTTAAGTTAAAAGTGACATCCTTTACTGTAATCGGTGGACATCCTAAAAATAATTACATTTTTATATTTTACAATGATTATATCAGTACACCATGTTTAATTAAGTGAGGTAAAAATTACAAGAATGCTTCGAAGAAAAACTCACTAAAGCTTAAAGAGAAAAGTTTTATTAAATTATGATTAAAATCTCGAATAAAAAATCTTTAAGTTTAAAAAACACTATTTTCTATAAACTTATGTATTTAAATAGATTACTCACTTGAATTATAATTCTGTACTCTTTTACAGATGAAAATTAAGGTTAATCCTGTATACGTCAATTGATAGATAATTTTCTTCCACATTACCATGAGATTACACGTGTGTGTGTGTATATATATATATGTCTGTACGAAAAATTAAAACAGCGCAATTAAATTTAAAAGTTAGAACTTTTCATACATCCTTACATTTTCCCATGAAAATGTATGACTTCATTCATTCTTCCGGAAAAACAGATGATGTATCCGGCGCGATAGATTATAATTGAATTTAAAAGTGAGAACTTCTCATACATCCTTACATTTTCCCATGAAAATGTATGACTTCATTCATTCTTCCGGAAAAACAGATGATGTATCCGGCGCGATAGATTATAATTGAATAAATATATCACATGAATTTAGAATTTTTTTTTTATTTATTAATATTATACAAAATAAGAATTAAGAAAATCAATATAATATATATTATTAAATTACTGTTTACAGTTAAACCTGTAAACAACAACCATATAGGGAACATGAGCTTTTATTTGGAGGTTATATTGTACGAATTTATTGAAAAATTTTAAAAAGTTTATTTAAAAATGTCTTTTATTTACAGGTAATCGTAATTGGAAGTTCGCTTTTTATGGATATAAAATAATAAATTATTAAGAAAATGAGATAAGTCATTTCTTAGTATTGAAAAGACGTAATATCTAGGAAAAAAACTACTTTCAGAACACAAACGATAAATTGTTTTTAAACGTTAAATACATTTCTAAATTTAAAAAAAAAAAACCTTAAAAGGAATATCACCTGATTATACAGATTGATCCAAAAGTTAATTAACCGTGTGTTTCGCTAAGAGTTCAGTAATTCGCTAATAAGTAACGAGTGCCGTAATTGGTGTATTGAGTAAGCACGATCTCATTCTAACCAATCCTCATAAAGTTTGTACTTAATAAAGTATTCGAATGAGTTAAAGAAAGTGAGAAAATAAGGTAGGAAACTGCTAAAGATTGCAGTAGGAAACGAAAGAATCCAGCCGAGAAGGAATCTGATAAATGTCGTTAAATGTAGCCACTACTTCTGGGAAATGGGAAGTGTATATTTTTTTATTATGTATTATTTTATTATATATATTATGTATATATGAATAAAACAAAGCTTTGATATTTACAATGATTAACTGACTTTTGGGCCACCCAGTATCTAAGTGATTTAGTCGTTGACGCACTCGATAATAACGGGTGGGGTCGCAAAGGTCAACAATCTATAAGGGTCGCTGCGGGTCACCTCGATCCGCATTTTAAATATTAAATTCTATTTTAACTATTTAACTTTTTGCCCTTTTTGCTTTTAAATATTATTTCTCATTCTGTTTCGTAATTTAATAAACATATTTGTTTACTTTCTAATACTTAGTTAATTATTTATTAACATTTGAATTTAGAATTGTTAGAATGTTAGAATTTTTCAAATACTTAAAAAATTTTTTCAAAATTTAACTATTTAAAAAATTTGAAACAATTAATAATGATAAAAAAATCATATTTATTATATAATAGGTATATAAAGTCACAATTTAAAAAAAATTATATTTACATTACATAAACATATTAAATTACAACAAACGTCAAAGGTCGCTGCGGGTCACCATGACCGCAAAGAGCCATTTTTTTGTAATACGTTCTAGCTCAATAATTTGAGTATGGAGAGTGAAGTTTTTCGATTTCCTTGTCTTTTTATTCTGGTTTTCCGGTTTGTTACTTTAATTCCGATTTAAAGTACTTTTGGACAATTAAATTTCTTTCAGATTATGTAACTACAGTAGAGCGTCGATTATCCGAATGTCAATCATCCGAAAGAATTCCAGTCGGAAAATTTAAATTTTCGCCCGTGCTGTGGCGCTGCAATCTTTGGCTATTTCTTGGGCTACTCAAATATTTTACGTTTTTGTTACTAAATTAACTTCTGAAGTATAATTTTTTATTGTTTTATAGTTTTCAATATATTTATTTTGTTCGTACAAAATAAAAAAATAATTTTTAACGATACAATAGTCTTCGTTAGGCTTAACAGCGACGAAAATTCAACGCGAAACGACACGCAACAGAGAAAAATTTCAAGATGGGATAAATTAACATTTTTTCGTATATAATCGGTTATCCGAAACACCGATCTTTCGAACAACCCCAGTCCCCAATTTATTCGGATAATCGACGCTGTACTGTAATTAGGTTTTTATTCGATAGAAATACAAAAAATTGTTAATGAATTCGTTAAACTTAATTAACTGATTGAATGTCTGAAATTTCGCAAGAAAAAAATTATGGATCGTGTATAGATTGTGTGTATACTATACAATTATCAAATCTGAGTACAGTAGAGCCTCGAAAACTCGGCACTCGATAACCGGGCACTCCGGATAACTCGGCCACACCTTGGCAGGGCGAAAACGAACTTAGGTGAACTTAAGTTTCCCGTTTAAACTTAATCTTTTTATATAGAATGAAGATAGCGCTGATTGACCAATGAGCGCTTCGTAGTCCTATTGGAGGTCCGTGCGATCGTCCAATGATCGACGGCTAATCATCTATTCTGTTTTCAAAACTAACGGTCGTTTCTCGATCCGTATTTCTATGGCGACAACCGTTGCTTGTTTGAAAAAGAGGAAAAGCGCGGGAACCATACATCTAAACGATTCCATCACGACAACAGTACTCTGCGATGGCATCTTCCGTTAAAAGAAAACAAGTGAACATGTCTATGGAGCAAAAGTTGCGGGCATTAAAGAGACTGGATAACGGAGAAAGTGTCAGTGCAGTGGCTAAGGACTTGGGAGTCGGCAAAAGTACGATTAGAGACTGGAAGAAGAAGCGGACAGAAATCGAGTCGTGGTGCTTGGACAGACATTCTTGGAATGTGAAAATGTCAAAACTTCCAAGAAATCCACCGATTCTAAATTCACGTTTCTGGGCAATGCATCCTTCATTCCAGTGCACGCTAAGTGA